ACCGGCCATTGAGGAAATCATTGGGGGAGGCCTATGTTCAACTGGACGTGTTATGGCTAAAATGATAATGATGATGATGATGAAAGCGAATAAAGGGCTAATAGCTTGGGTAGTTCATCGTAGGTATAATCCTTTCCTTTTCAAGGCTTCTTTTAGTTATATTAATAGATTGTAGTCATAGTACATACTCGTATACATGGATGATTGTGTTATACACACATTATAATACTTAGTGGAATTACTGCTTTCAAAACGTGAATTAGAACTGGCCCCATAGCAGACATTTTCCTACATCTAAAGGCCTTTTGAAATATATATTGGTTATGGCTATTGGAGCGGGTACCACTTTCCATACATTTGTGCCCATCATCCTTTAGATTTGATGCAACCATACATCAATGCACATCAAAACAAAATATTTACTTTGAGGCTACGCCTAGTAGTTTTTTTTAAATCGAAATTAAATGATGCGATTTGGGTATTTTGGTGAAATTACTAAAAAAATTAATATAAAAGTAGCCGCCTGGCATGGAACGTGTTATGGGGGCTGAAAATATTGGAAATGACCCATTCTATCCGCCAAATCATTTTGGCACACGATGCGCCAAACACCCTGTATTATCATGATATACCGCTTAGTTTAAAAGGTATTACGTTTTCTTTACAATAAGTAATTGGAAGAAAAAAAATTCTATAAAAAATTTAAAAAAAATCTCCAAAATTTTTTGACCTCTTTTTTGTCGATAAAAATAGGTCTAGTTTCATCTATTTTCATATGTACACTTTAACGTGACTCACACTGTATTTTTTTAAAGTTATCTATAAGTGGTCCTAGTCGCTGGAAGAAAAATATTAAATTTTAATGGATCCAGGGACTGGGCCCGCGGTCCCAGTTAATTGCGATCCCAGTAGCCGGAATCCTCAATTTATCTATGCTGAAGCTGATGGTGCTACGTGCCCTGCCCATTGCCACTTCAGCTTGCTAATCCGTCGCGTCGGGCTATGTCAGCGACTTTAGTTCGTTTACGAATCTCCTCTTCTGATTCGATCTCGTAAAGAAACACCGAACATAGCCCTCTCCATTATATTTTATTTCTTTGGTTAGCTTATCTCAAAAATTACTGGCCCGATTTTAAAAAATATTTCTGTTTTCAATAGCTCATTTATCGGGGAAGGCTTATACTATACAGGGTGAAAACGATAAGTGATTTCACTCGATTATTATAGTTGTCGAAAAACTGGTTACTTGGTTACTAACTAGCCTGAGACTGAAAAAACATTCCATTTTCACGCGCGCGAAATAAGTACTAAATAAATAAATAAGCCAATTTAACAAACACGTCATACAAGGAACATTATAGTGCTTCGTTTGTCAACATAAGTCTTCATGTATAAGAACTGAGTAACAGCCAAAATTACTTATCCACAAATTGCCCTACTAACTAGGTCGTCGTTTCAGCCAAATGGCGTCCACTGCTGGACAAAGGCCTCCCCCCAAGAGTTTCCACAGCGACCGGTCCTGCACCGACCGCATCCAGGCATTATAAAGCTGAAGAATTTTTTTGTTTGGTTGAACCCTCTTCAGAAACTTGTGATCCGATTTCAAAAATCTTGTTGTGTTGGATAGCCCATTTATTGAGGGAGGCTTAGGCTATACCTACAGCCAATAGGGGCGGAGCAGTAAAGAAAAATGTTAAACCAGTAAAGTTTAATGTTGTTAAAATGCTAGTCGTAATTTAAAAGTAACGTGACGTTTGTTTCTCCACACAAACTCCCACATTCACAACATAGTTTCACAAAAACCATTAGTTTAAATTCTCTGACCTATCTTCGTGTTTACTAAAAATACTCGCCACTGTGTTTTTATGATAAGGAAAAAAATACGCTAAGCTTACGCTAGTAGGGGCGTGGCTTGACCTCTGGCGTACGTGAGTGAACGCACGTACGCAGTTTTGGCGGGGGTGATCTAAATTTATGACGCTTACCCTAACAATGTACCAAACTGTAATGTTTTGGTTGTTGCGTTACATTATGATGTTCGCATGACTTCGCTCGCGTGGATTTTTGTCTGTCACAGAAAAACTTTATCGCGCGCGTCCCTGTTTCAAAAATCGAGATAAAAACTATCCTGTGTCCGTTTCCGGGACTCAAACTTATCAAAGTCGGTTCAGTGGTTTAGGCGCGAAAGAAAGACAGACAGACAGAGTTACTTTCGCATTTATAATATTAGTATAGATAGCCAGCAGTTGTGTGTAATGTTTGAATTTTGATACTATTATTACATTGTAGTTTTGAGTCATAAAATTATGTAAAATAACAGCAGTATGAATGAGATTCACAAATTATTCTAGAATTATAAATAGAAAAGTCTGTCTATGTGTTATCTTTTTAGACTTAAGCTCATGGCAGACTTATCAACTCGGAAAGGGATCAACAACGTATCGCCTTTCGCGAGCTGACATTGATGTCAATTGCGAGGCGAGGTCTTTACGTTACGGTGCGGATAACGCATACAGTTAATACGGTTACGATCCCTTTCCGGTTTTGATAAATGTGCTGTCCTTTAAATCACTGCACTGATCCGATTAGATCATTGGTTCCCAAACTTATTTGACGTGCCCCTTTCGACCATACAAAAAATTCGGCGCCCCCCTCCTCCAGTCAAGATTATTTATTGGTCGTATCGAGCAGTCTGGAATGCATTCTCTCAGCGGTCGCAGGTTTTTTATACTTAAGTACACAGATGGCCCGCGCCCCCCTTTAAAGGTCTTTGCGCCTCCCCTGGAGGGCGCGCCCCCACTATGGGAACCAATGGATTCGATAAAATCCTTACTAATATTGAAATGTACGTGCTATTGACTGTACCTCCATTACGTCAAACTTTTTGCACAACCGTCATTAGGCTTCCACTGAAACAACTAATTTGCCCAACAACAATGTTAGACAAATAGTTTCTCGATAATCGCTCGCAGTCACGCCACGGCCGCTCGATATCGGCCGAGTCGACGACCCCTCACTGTGTCGCGGGTTGGCAATGAGGCACATGATAGATAGATCAGTAAACACAAACAAATAGCACAGGAAATAAATCAAATCTTTATCTCGTATAATATACTGTGCAAATAGCGCAACAGTCAAGGTGTCGGACTGACCGATTCGAGATCAAAGGAGCGCTGCTCGTTCAAACCCCGTCGCCGTTGTAGTGAACCAGTTAGCTTACCATGAAGCGGGTCGGGTTTTAGAATCGCGCTGACCGCTTGCTGATCGTCGTCGCTGACAGATCAATATGTATCTAATTAAAGGAAACGTTCCCGAGTGAAAAGTATTGCTGATCGCTCGGCGCCGACGCTTCACACATTTCGACTGGGCATTATACCACTGCCACTGTTTTACGCCTGAACTTTTGCGCCATCCAGCCCCAAACTAAGCAAAGCTTGTACTACGAGGGGTACCAGACTACCAGACAACTAGTATAAAATACAAATAATTCCAAAATGGTATAAACTGTGTTCTGTCGTTTTTTTTTTATAATAAATGTCGGACTCGCTCGTTGACTCGAGATCCCTGAAACTCTGCTTTGAACCTCGTCGCTTCTGAACTATTATGGTATTATAGTGGCACTCACTCGTAACACAAGCATACTTGTAATATTTAGCTTATCACGAGGGTTAACTTACGAGACAATTTTTGCGACATAAAAATTGTCGTTCCTCTTGACCTGGCCGTTTCATTTGTACTACATCCCGACCCGTTGCCAGACTGCATCGTAGAATATGTTTACGTGCGCCGGCGTCAGTTTGTGACTTCATTTGAATCGCAAACCGTTCAGCTTTTGAGTGACAGGTGACACATTTGAGACCGCATATCATCATCAGATGGCTTAGTCTAGGCGCAGACCATCGATTTTTCGTCGGCCGATAGTTTAGTCGGGCAGTTGATCAGTATGGGCATGGAAGTGCGCACATTACACCGATTTGATTTGGCCGATTCTTCATACAATTTTAAATCTGGCACGACTATCGGCCAACTAAAAATCGGTGGTCTGCGCCTAGTCTTAGTGTGAGTTTAAATCAAACGGCGTCACTAGTGAGCGCGTAAAAAAGACATTAAATGTATGACGGATTGTACAGCGCCCCTAGCGGAAACTTTCAAAAAAAAAGTTTTAAAAGTGAGGACATTTTTTATGTAAAGTCACACTAAGCCCTCAGATGTATCTGTACGATCCTTTTCAAACATTGCAACAAAAAAACATATATTTTTTTAGGTATTTCGCATCAAAATGTTGCACATGCATCCAATAATGCAGTTTGCATACAGAATGAGATTGTCACTGACCCCGCAGAGATTCGTGCTGTATGGATTGCCGATGAGTTTCAAAGTTTTTTATTCTTGGTTGATGCCAATTTTTGGCGTCAGAATACCCATTGTTCGTTTCAAAGGGAAAAAATGAGTTTAGATACTTAAACTTTGTTGTTTCAAAAATTCGTTCGTTCGTTTCAGCCAAATCGCTGTCCACTGTTGGACAAAGGATTTCAACGACGACCGGTCCTGCGCCGCGCGCATCCAGGCAAAGTCAAAGTCAAAATTTCTTTATTTGTTTAGACTAATAAATAGTTCTTACAAATCGTCATTTTGCTCTTAAGGAGCCTCTACATGTCTCATAATCTTTTTACCCTACCAGCGCTTCGAGACCAACATTTGGCAAGTGCTGAGAAGAAGCGCCGCAACAAACTCAGTCACCACTGTCTGCCGGATAATATTAAATAAATAAATAGGCACCTCCCGTGACCGTCAGCATCAGATCGTCGGTCCACCTAGTGGGGGACCTGCCCACACTACGTCTTCCGTCCCGCGGTCGCTACTCGAGAACTTTTCTGTCCCAGTGTTTATGTATTTATGTATTGAGACTTTATTAGCGCCCTGAAAGGGACCTACCAAAACTGCAAAATCTCCCCTATCCCAACCAAATAAACTTTTAAAATATAATATCTTTGTTCCAGCACAAATCGGAGCCGGTTATCCTGGAGTACTTCGAGCATGGCGACACCAACGCCGCCTGTGAAGACTTCCTGGAGTTTGTCACCGCGAAACGGAGTCACTTGGTATGTGGACTTCTTATGGCGCAATTAATGCCTGTCATGTTAACTATAAATTACTGTATTTTATTGAAAAAGAGGCTGACAAAGGTGACTGAGTTTCTTCCGCCACATCTTCTCAGCACCAGCCCATGTTGTCCCGAAGTGGTGGTAGGGCAAGCTGTATTTGGGACGTGTACAAGTGCCCTGGAAAGGGCCTATGTACTTTTTACAATTGACTATGTACGTACATACAGGTACTCCAGTACCGAATAAAATATTTGAATTTACAAGTACATACACTGAAATTGGCCAAGATTAATAGTGTGAACATCATTTCGGTTACTTTCTTCTTCCCGAACCCATGCCTCGCCCATACTTCAGTGTGCGATCTAGCGCTTCGTCTCGGTAAAAGACAATGCCGGAAATTGGCGTCTTTTTTTTTGCGCGGCCATCGACCAAACCATGTTTTTTGGATATAAAATAGTGTAATAAACCAAACTTACTATGACATGTATACCTCTAAACTCAGTCTGAACTGAGTTACGAGCATTAGAAGTTTATAATTTACATACTAGATTTGCTTTTTGCGCGCATGTTTTGTAAGAAATTGCAACAAAATAGTGACATTTTATGTGTAAACAAACAATACCATCCATTAAAGGCTCCAGACATGAGTGTGGAGTAGAATCAGTGCCAAAAAAAAATAACGCAATATTTGGTTGCAATTTCTTACAAAACTTGCGCGCAAAAAGCAAATCTAGTATGTAAATCATCAAACTTCTAATGCTCGTAACTCAGTTCAGACTGAGTTTAGAGGTATACATGCCATAGTAAGTTTGGTTTATTACACTATTTTGTAATCCAAAAACAAAGTTTGGTCGATGGCCGCGCGAAAAAAAAAGACGCCACCTTCCATACAAAATCTGGCATTGCCATTTTCCGCATAGTGTACTTACGCCACATAGGGTTCTGTAGTTGATAGAATACATACACTCGCAAGCAAAAGTAAGGAAATATTTGAATGCAGTTTTCTTGCTTTTAAAAAATAAAGAAATGTTTTCTTTGACTAAAATTTTCTATCTTCAATATTAAGAGTACTTTCCCTCCAGGTGGCATTACAAAATTCCACCCTATAGAGTCGTACTCCTACAATGGAGACTTAATTACCTGATGATTTTTTTTTATCCACAACGAGGAAGCTCTTGCCCTGTATCTCACCTGATGGCCTGATGATTATTCTTATTCCACAGGTGTGCGAGATGATAGTTGAGATCGCGTTGGACCACAAGCCGTCGCATTGTGAGATGGCGTCTGTCCTCATCTCAGATCTGTACGGGAGGGTGTTTTCAGCGAAAGACATTGGTTATGGTGAGTTTCTACACTATACACTATTTTTATTATAAATAAAGAGGAAAAATTTGATTGTATGTTTCCATCAGGGTTCGAGGATATATATCAAGGGATATATATCAAGATATATATCGGATATATATCCGATATATATCAAGCCGGTTTTGATGATATATATCAACTTTTAAAATTTGTTACTGTATTTGTACTTTTTGACATAAGATTTTTATTTTTTTAGGTGATTTGGCCGTATTTCAAAGATATTTTATGTTTTTGCTTTATTTATCTGATTTTAAGTTTTAAAAACATTAAAAACATGTTTATGTAACACATATGCAATAGTATTCATGAATAATGCAATAAAATAATACTATGGCTTTCATACAAAATTGATATATATCAAAGTTGATATATATCGGATATATATCATAAATATCCGATATTTTGATATTTATAATAAATATCGGATATTTTCGAACCCTGGTTTCCATTTACCACTACATGGTATAAAACAAAGTCGCTTTCCGCTGTTTGTCCATATGTATGCTTAGAACTTCAAAACTACGCAACGGATTTGATGCGTTTTTTTTAATAGATAGGGAATGGTGTATGCTTAGCACCCGTGCGAAGCTGGGGCGGGTCGCTAGTTTATATAAATTAATTTAAAACCAGAATGAAGTGTCTTTAAAAAAAAGTTGAATGATGTCAAATAAATAGTCAAATGATTAATATTTATAAATAAAATAAATTTAATTTCATATAACACCCTGTATCATTCCAGCGTTCGAAAGGCTACTGGACAAGCTTCCGGACTTGGTGCTGGATACGCCGGACGCCGCTGTCTTGCTGTCAAACTTCATAGCGCGCTGCGTGGCCGACGACTGCCTACCGCCGCGGTTTGTGCAGTCGCTGGCAGCGGCTGAGCTGAACACGCACGCCAGGCGAGTTGCGACCTTATTTATTAGTGCATAGGGTTTACATTGCTGTGACAAAGTAGGGAGAACTGTGGAGATGACTACCAGGCGAGTTGCGACCTTATGTAGTAGTGTATAGTAGATGCTAGATTGCTTGACAAAGAAGTAGGGAGAACTGTGGAGATGAGTGACAGGCGAGTTGCGACCATATTGCATAGTGTTTAAGTGCTAGATTGGAGTCGTGAGAGTTGGTAGGCGTGGAGATGACAGCCAGGCAAGTTGCGACCTTATTTAGTAGTTAATAGAGGTTAGATTGGAGTAGCGGGCGAACAGAGTGAGATGTGGAGATAAACACGAATGCCAGGCGAGTTGCGACCTTAATACATTCTTAATAAGTGCTAGATTGGAGTGGTGAGAGTTGGTGTGGGCGTGGAGATGGCTACCAGGCGAGTTGCGACCTTATTTAGTGGTTAATAGAGGTTAGATTGGAGTAGCGGGCGAACGCACGTCAGACGAGTTTGAACCTTAATACATTCTCTATAAGTGCTAGATTGGAGTGGTAAGAGTAGGTGTGGGCGTGGAGATGAGTACCTAGCGGGTTGCGACCTTATTTAGTAGTTAATAGAGGTTAGATTAGAGTAGCGGGCGAACAGAGTGAGATGTGGAGATAAACACGCATGCCAGGCGAGTTGCGACCTTAATACATTCTTAATAAGTGCTAAATTGAAGTGGTGAGAGTTGGTGTGGGCGTGGAGATGACTACCAGGCGAGTTGCGACCTTATGTAGAAGTGTATAAGAGCTAGATTATTGTGGCGATATTTGGTGGGCGTGGGACCTTATTGCACTATAGATTGGTGCTAGATTCGTATGAACGGGAGTAGAACTGGCGCGCATGATATAGAATGTGTTGTATGTGTACGTCTTTGTTACGATTGGGATAAGGTTGTGTTGTCAGCTTTTTGACCATTTTTGCTGTCACCACAGATATGGATAGATGAAGCATGTGTCAAAAATTGTATGAAGCCGAGCGTGCCACTTTTTAAACGTCATTAGTGTCATTTTAGCGAATTTTAGTGATTGCCGCAACGTAAAAGTAATCGTATCATCGTACTGCATTTGCAAAGTCATCGAATGATATCGTGCGACTCGATTCGAAAATTAATTAATTAATAATATTTACCAATGCAGAAAGCCGCTATTCTTAACACGTGCCGCATAGTTCGGAAGTTCTTGCAGGACGACAACACCCAAAACTCCAATCCAGCAAACGCAGCTCACTTGGCCTAGGCCCGTGAGTCAGCCGTCAACACCGGAGAAATTTTATTTCTTCGAGGTTTAATAAAACTTAACAATAAATAATAATAATTCCGATAAAACTGATAATTTGTTAAATACAAAACCAAAATCATCTTTATTTACCTTTTTAAAATAAATTAATTCTTACAAATCGTCAAATCTCGTTATTTTTTTTACCCTACCAGCGTTTCAAGACATAAATTTGTCAAGTGCATGAATACATGCATCAGTGTGTGTCTTATTGTTATGAGTAAGTACGGTTCCTTGGGATCGGTATGAGTGCACCACATACAGGGACCATGGTTTTAACTCTTAAGAGTACATCGCAGGATATGTATTAAAAACAATGCTACTTTATACTTCTTCTACTGCTACTTTATTCTAATTAATTATTTGTTACTTGTGCTGTTAATTACAATTCTCAATCCGTAAATAATTTCTTCTTTCTACCGTGTTCATACTACTGTCCTCGTAAAATCATCGTAACCGATTGTTGTAATCGGATTACATGAACATCACTCGACCATGTATGTCCATTTGGACATATCGGAATGGCACGCTTTGACGATCAACTTGCTGTATCTACTCTAATCCATATCTGTGGCTGTCACCAACTATTTGGCACTGACTGTACTAGTGAATAGGAGATACATTCGCGAACTAGTAGAACAGGCTAGTTTCCTAAAAAAAATTTTTTAGTCCGTCATGTTTAATATCAAAAAATATTGCACACATATATTTATATTTGTCAATTTAACAAATAATTACATAGTTATGGTGCTTTGAAGTTCTGCACGACGTCACAACGTGCGGCACTTTTATGCACACATTGACGTCACGGGCCTCTTCTTATGAACTTTGGCGCGCTTTATCTCTTTAAATTTTCATTAGTTTGAAAAAGTGAAAAATACGTGTAGAGTATTTTTTGATAAGTTAACTGACGGACTAATTAAAACTCTTGCTTTTTGACCCAGGAAACATCCCTATGTAATACAATATAATACTAGTCGTTTAGTTGATATATTATAAGACTAATTGTTTGTTATTGTTCCAGGCAAGCGATCCATAGAGCCGAGACACTGTTATCCATGAACCAAGGGCTGGTGCGGTTGGATAACATCTGGGGGGTCGGTGGTGGAATCAGGTCAGTACACGGTTCGAGTCTTGTCGTAACCAATATCGTAAGATACGGGACTATTCCCACGTTCACGCTGCAACTCCTGTGTAGCCAGGATCTACAGCTTGACCGCCAATAACCCAACCAGTGAAGATCAAGTTTGTTTTTGTTTGCTGTCTTTTCCTGAACACTATAATCCGGGCCTTTTCAAGGCGAGAGTGAATAGGCACTTACAGGGCAGATATGTACCATCCTACACTGCATCTCACTTAACACCAGGTGCGATTGTGGTCAAATACCTGCCTTGTCCTGCATATAAAAAAAAATAGCCAAGTGCGTTTCGTGCCACGCGCAGTGTAGGGTTCCGTAGTTGTCCGTCGTTAACACAAGACATTTCAGAAGCAAGCAATTACTTCATCTAAAGTCATTTTAATATTTTCTTCTGAGGAATTTTCACTAGTTAAGAAATTGTATAACAGATGAGTTAAATGACTATTACTCTTAAACTAACTAATGTATCTTAACCGCTATAGTTTTCCTTGAAAGCTCATGAAAAGCAGTATCATTACGAATTTTTCCAGATTTTTAAAGCCGACAGTTTAGTTTTTAGAGGGAAGGGGGATTAATATTTTAATATACATACCTCCACAAAATCACAGCTCCCTAGTGCCAATAGTTTCCAAGCAAAACCTCGGACAGACAGACAGACATATCGAAACTATAAGGGTTCCTTGTCAGGACTACGGAACCCTAAAAAGCAGCGCTAAAAATTCACCATAGTCAGCCACTAATGATTATTATCTGTTTCCAGGCCAGTCAAGTCTCTGATCCGTCAAATCCAGCTGCTTCTCAAAGAGTACCTGACTTCCGGCGAGCTGGCCGAAGCCGTGCGATGCGTGAGGGAGCTGGAAGTGCCACACTTCCATCACGAGCTAGTCTACGAGGTAACTATCATGTTCTTTTAGAGTTCAGTTCTTCATCAGGTCATTTAGTCTACCTGTGGCCCGGTTTCCACCAAGGCAGAGTGCAGCGGAGACGTGTTTTGAATAACCAATCACATTTCATTATTGCCACATCCTAATAAATAAGTTATAGCCCGACCAGGAACATAAAAACCCTCGCCATGTTGCGGAAAACTAATGGTACTAATTTCTTTTAATGGCAACAGTAACTGAAAACTTCATTGACATGTCACCTTGCATGTCAGTCTATTGCTGTCAAAGTGTAAACAAACTTTATTTTAAATGTGCGAATTGATTTTGTGAAGTAAATTGCTAAAATCTTTTTATAGTCGTGAAAGAAAAGTGGTTCACAATGTTTTAAAGTATTTGTCGAAGAGAAATACTAAGATTCGGACAATATTTTCATTGAATAATGTTTCCGACAAAGGTTGTCAAATTGACTGACATGTTTATCGCATAGTACAGTCCACTATGAAAATTAGCTGTGGTTTGTTTCAACTACCTATTTTAAAAATTTTTGTCACTTTCTAAGTGTTGAATTTTATGGAATTGGGACAGAAGTACCGAGTTTGAAACGTTCATGAGGAAACATTGCATGAATATTCAAGTTCTGAATTTGATTCTTGACGAATAATAAAATAAATCCTACTAGCTCGATTGATGGTTTCATTTAATTTATTTAAACCAGGTTACCTATAATAATATTTTTTCGTTAATTTATGAAAATATCAAATTAGCCCGTAATCCTGAATCCTGATACATAAAGTGAGCCTATTAATTTAACACGGGTACGACTGTACTCAGTGTTGCACTATCAAATGCAATTGACGCGCCTCTATGCCAGGGTTTTTATGTTCCTGGTCAGGCTATAATCTCGAATCGAATAAATAAATCTCTTCCGCTTCGCTCGTTGGAAATGGTACGAGCGGAGAAGAGATTTATCAACTGGGAAAGGGATCAAACGTCCGTCTCCAAAACTTTTAATTTGAAAGAGCTCCAAAGCCATTTTTCTTTCTACACGATAGTCAAGCATAAAGTTCTTATTCATACATACAGTCCACAGTGAATTATATAAATAAATACATTTAGCATTAATACATAAAATGTACTTCAGCATCCTGTGTTGTCACGTTTATCTATTACGCCAACAGATGGCGTTGTATGTCCACTGACTCGCGGTTCTATTTGATTTTTTCCGTTTCTTATATACTAGTCCATGCAACTAGCTAAGTATTGTGACTTTCTTCACAGAAACAAGATTTCTCTTGAAAGGGCGTAGGTCAGTCCTGCTGATCTATGCCTATAGAATCCATAGGCATACATTCCAATATTTAAAATAGGCCTGAGGGGACTAACGCCCACACAAACGATACTTGCGAATTTTTTTTAACGCCTTTTTTATCTGTATTTATTTTTAACTCTCGCAAAATTTCTTATTCGTTTGTTGTGACCTTGTTTGAAATTTTGTATGGAATATTTTTATTTTCATGTTTATTTTTGTCGATACGAAATTTTACCCTTCAGTGAGGTTGGTTTTAGAATTTCGCGCGCTGATGCTCTCTGACCGTCAAGCTAATAAAAAATTACAAACAGGGTCACCAACGAATAAGAAGTTTTGCCCCTAGTAAAATGAAAGACTACGAAATTTTGCGTGCGTCAAAAAGAAATAGAGAACAGATAAAGGCGTGCGGAAATTTTTATACAAGAAAAAAAAATATTCCAGGATTTTTTTCTACAGTGAAAAAATTCGATCGGAATTTTCCCCTCGCTACGTCTTCCAGCCCGTGGTTTGTGCCGTGGTCGCCACTCGACAACTTTTCTGCCCCAACGGCCATCGTCTCTACGAGCTATGTGCCCCGCCCACTGCCACTTGATTTTAGCAATTCTGCGAGCTATACAGGGTGTTAGGTAAATGGGTATATGAGCCGACACTAGCCCATGTTAACATGGGCATATAAATGGTATGGTGAAGTCAGAAATTTGATATCATCATTTTAATTTTTTTAATTTTTATACAAAATAAATATTATAAAATCCGATTTGTATGAAAATTAAAGTAATTAAAATTACGATATCAATTTTCTNGTATGGTGAAGTCAGAAATTTGATATCATCATTTTAATTTTTTTAATTTTTATACAAAATAAATATTATAAAATCCGATTTGTATGAAAATTAAAGTAATTAAAATTACGATATCAATTTTCTGACTTCACCATACCATTTATATGCCCATGTTAACATGGGCTAGTGTCGGCTCTTATACCCATTTACCTAACACCCTGTAATAGTAATAATAATAAGTTTTATATTTAAGTTATATTGAATTGGTATTCACTTGGTTCAGGCCCGTGAATATCATTAAAAAACCGATGGCATTAGAAGACTCATCGTGATACACATAAGTATAAATAAAAATAATGATAATAAATACACTTTATTGCACACCAAACAAATAACATAACAGAAGAAAAGCAACACACAAGATACAATTAGGCGGTCTTATCGCTATGAAGTGATCTCTTCCAGACAACCTATGTCTATAAGAATACCTACCTATCTATAATATATACCTGTATAGCTATAAGAATATGTATTAATATTATAGTTATTTCTTTCCAGACCGTCCTACTGGCTGTGGAGTCCATAAACTCCAGTGTCGAAGAGCAGTTATGCACGTTCCTTGCTGAGTTGAGGCGCTGCGTCATAGTCAGTCCCGACCAGATGGATCGGGTGAGTCATCATCCTTACTACTTAAATAACTCTTGTTTGCAGATAGCTAAATTCTGTAAAATTTTCAGAACGGCCATTTCAACTCGATGTAGCCCTGTTATTATTTAATTATGAAAGAAAACGAAAAATAATGTGTCCAATAGGTTTTTCCTTGTATATGTCCAATATCTACAAATTGTATTTTGCATAAAGCTATGTAATTTTGTTTACCGTTTGGAAAGATGCGAGACATTCCCAACACAAGTCTCTCTGATTACTTACTGGGAAGCCTCCGCACAAATATTTTATAAAACTTTTTGTCCATAAACAATTTTTAATTTTAATTTAATATTAATCGGACGGACAAAAGGGCCTGTAATAAGGCCACACACAATAAGTTAAATACATACTCATTGAACGTTGGTTAGCATCATTTCCATTTCCATACTAAATGACAATTTATAAAAGTGTTTAACAGGTGTTTATCTTTTTATAATAATCCGCACGAGACATGAGATGCAAGTCTTATTGCAAGAAAAGAAATATTTCTGGAATTATAGACATTAACGGTTCATTTTGTAACTCCATTTGCGTTGATAAGGCTGCTGCTAGTTTTTAGCCAAACTAAGATATGTAAATATAAATAAATACGCTGTTGGTTTTCTCAACAAAAAAAATTACTGACGTGTTCTGTTACTTTTACCATTTATAAGAAACTAGCTGACCCGGCGAACTTTGTTCCGCCTTAATGGCAATAAATAAGCAGACTTTTTTTTAAATTTCGAATGGGATAAAAAGTATCCTATGTCCTTCTCCTGGCTCTAAACTAACTCCCTGACAATTTTCAGCTAAATCGGTTCTTGAGTTATAAGTGGTGTAACTAACACGACTTTCTTTTATATGTATATAGACTAGCTTTCCACCCGCGGCTTCGCCTGCGTGGAATTTTTCGGTTTTTATATAACCTATGACACTCAGCAATAATGTGGCTTTCTATTGTTGAATGAATTTTTAAAATCGGTTCAGTAAATCCCGAGATTACCCCTTACAATTCAACAAATGTACAAACACAAACTTTACATCTTTATAATATTAGTTCCATTATTTATCCGCTACATGGCGAGGGTTTTTTTTAATCTTCTTTACAAATAATCTTTGATTTTCCAGGGCTTTCTCCGGGTTCTGGAGGATATGTCGGACATAGTGCTGGACGTGCCGCTGGCGTACATAATGCTGGACCGCTTCATGGAGCGCTGCCAGCGCAAGTTCCGGCTCGGCGACCACGTGCTCAAGCGCGCGCCCACAAGGTGAGCATTGGGAGACGTGTGGCGACATCTACAGGGCGACATCGACATCTAGAGGGCGACATCGACATCCTAGCTAGAGTCTAGAGGGAGCGGGTCCTGGAGGATATGTCGGACATAGTGCTGGACGTGCCGCTGGCGTACATAATGCTGGACCGCTTCATGGAGCGCTGCCAGCGCAAGTTCCGGCTCGGCGACCACGTGCTCAAGCGCGCGCCCACAAGGTGAGCATTGGGAGACGTGTGGCGACATCTACAGGGCGACATCAGGGCGACATCGACATCCTAGCTAGAGTCTAGAGGGAGCGGGTCCTGGAGGATATGTCGGACATAGTGCTGGACGTGCCGCTGGCGTACATAATGCTGGACCGCTTCATGGAGCGCTGCCAGCGCAAGTTCCGGCTCGGCGACCACGTGCTCAAGCGCGCGCCCACAAGGTGAGCATTGGGAGACGTGTGGCGACATCTACAGGGCGACATCGACATCTACAGGGCGACATCGACATCTACAGGGCGACATCGACATCTACAGGGCGACATCGACATCTACAGGGCGACATCGACATCTACAGGGCGACATCGACATCTACAGGGCGACATCGACATCTAGAAGGCGACATCGACATCTAGAGGGCGACATCGACATCCTAGCTAGAGTCTAGAGGGAGCGGGTCCTGGAGGATATGTCGGACATAGTGCTGGACGTGCCGCTGGCGTACATAATGCTGGACCGCTTCATGGAGCGCTGCCAGCGCAAGTTCCGGCTCGGCGACCACGTGCTCAAGCGCGCGCCCACAAGGTGAGCATTGGGAGCGAGAGGGAGAAAAGGGGTGAGAGAGGGATAAAAGGGGGGAGAGAGAGGGAAAAGGGGTGATAGTGAGAGGGAAAAGGGGTGATAGTGAGAGGGAAAAGGGGTGATAGAGAGAGGGAAAAGGGGTGATAGTGAGAGGGAAAAGGGGTGATAGTGAGAGGGAAAAGGGGTGATAGAGAGAGGGAAAAGGGGTGATAGTGAGAGGGAAAAGGGGTGATAGAGAGAGGGAAAAGGGGTGATAGTGAGAGGGAAAAGGGGTGATAGAGAGAGGGAAAAGGGGTGATAGTGAGAGGGAGAAAAAGGAAGAGAGAGAGGGAGAGAGACATACCGACACTAGGCGTGTTTGTTTATCTGCTCAAGGAGGAACTCTGGAGAAATCCTCCGGCAGGAACACAATAATAATAAGAAGGTAATAAGTAGAGATGAAACGGATATCCGGTAACTATCCGGTAGGCCGGATATCCGGCCTAAATTTACTATCCGGCCGGATACCGGATAGTAACTCACTATCCGGCCGGATACCGGATATTAAAAACCTACGACAATTTCCTATTATTAAAATGAAATACATTAATCTTTGAGGTAAATATCAATAAAATGGCTTACAATAATGACGGCTTTTATACCTTTAACTACCGACCTATACGTCTCTCAGACGTAATAAATTTTCATTTTGAAATATTTCTAAAATCACGCCACCTTTGGCGTCGCCTTTCCCGCTACCTTCCTCCCTCCGCGTCGCAAGCCACCAGTCGACTTCGCGTCCGCNGACATACGGACGGACAGACGGACGGACGGACGGACAGACAGACATGACGAATCTATAAGGGTTCCGTTTTTTGCCATTTAGCTACGGAACCCTAAAAACCATATTAAGGCCTTTCAAAACCAATTTTTCTGGGCTATTCTAGAGTGAATAGCCCAGAAAAATAAATTGGTTTTGACGAATACATAAATTAAATAGTAAATATCTGTTAATGTCGAAATATTGCCAAATAAAATAGGCGATTTTTTTTTCACTGATGGTCTGATGATTATGCAACTAATTAAATTTTCGCTATTCAATCACACACTCACTATTGCAACCGAAATTGAATTGATCTGCCCCTTAGACAAGTGGCAAAATCTGATATTCTATTCGGACGGATTCGATTTTCGAAAAGTGTGATTAGTCTAGTCTACTAATAGACCCACTGATCGCGTTCAAAGCACCTGTGCGGCGCTATACTCGTCACGACATGCAACGAGACAATGGGCCAACTATCCGGCCGCCGGATATCCGGCTATCCGGCCTAGCAGCTGGCCGGATATCCGGTATCCGGTATCCGGCCAAACCACTATCCGTTTCATCTCTAGTAATAAGTACAGAAAGTTTTCTTCGCGAAGGCAAATGTCTACTGAATGTCGTCAACAATATGGTGTAATTTAGCACGTCGCAGAATCGAGCACCGTTTCGTTTACATATGTCAATGATCGGCACTGTGCCGATGCGGTAGGGCTGACTGCTACAAGGAGCTACTGTGTCGCCATCTAGCGCACCATACGCGTATTTATTTATTGATGCAAAACACTTGTAAGCTTACGATGCAGGTCCAAAGCGCTTACAAGCTTAAAAGTATCGTTTACCATCTCAGTTTTATAATGGGAATAGAACTGACACCGCGATGCAGGTTTAGTAGGCACGGTGGTATATGCCATAGTAATTATTTTGAGTATTACATATTACATATTCGTATAGTTGTTGCAATTCACAAAAGTGAGTAAGCTTTACATGGTGGCTCGCTACTGTTCGTTTTTCTAAAGTTTTGACAGATCGTTATGTGCATGTACACCAGCGTTGCCAGTTTTTTTTTTCGCCAAGTCGGGACTTTGGTACTTTTTTGAGTGAAAATAGCGGGATTCTTCCGTCAGAAGCGGGACATAGTAAAAAAACGTATAATAATCAAAGGTTTTCAAATATTTATCTTTTTATTTGACTTAAAATTACGTTTACGTGACAATAGATAGCAAAAGTAGCTATAGAAAATGTATTTTAACAATAAAAATAATATTTTAAATCAGATTTAGTACGTACGCCACGTACGGTCGAGTTCTCTCCGAAAAGCGGGACCGAGCCTGTCCCGCGCGGGACATTTAAATTTGATTTAAAAATCGGGACGTCCCGCCAAAATCGGGACGTCTGGCAACGCTGATGTACACGTACTCATAAGTCAAGCTCTCCGCCTCTGTGGTCTAGTGGTAGGACCACCTGCTTCAGACGCAGAGGTCCCGGGTTAGATTCCCAGTGGGGGCAGATTTTTCTGTTCGGTTTGGTTGGTGGTAGGGCTTGTTCTAAGTCCGCCTGGCTAGATACCACCATCTTACCTAAGTCTGTCGCCATAACAACAATGTTAACAGCATTGTTGTGTTCCGGCAGTTAGAGGTAAGATAGCCAGTTCCTCCGTGGTTGAGTATTCCGGGTGAAGCTCGCTTCCACCTTCGGCCTGATCATCACTTACCATCAAGTGAGATACAGGCCAAGAGCTTCCTCGTTGTGGATAAAAAAAAAGCTCACTCGCCTTCGTGAGTTGCAAGAACTGTCCTTTATTATTATGACTAGTCTTTTTACATTTTTTTCATCCCTTTCCAGGGGCCGCAAACGCTTCGTGTCCGAAGGCGACGGTGGCGCCATCAAGGATCACGCGCTCAAACTGCGCGAGTAAATTGCGATGCGATGCGACGCGACGCACCCACTAGGTATCTACGTTGACGACATAACCAGACAGGCCAGACATAGTTGAACGATTTTGAAACGTCAAATGGCAAAGAAAGGTAATAACCAGCGCCCTTCTGCAAATAATGTGTTTCCCAACGAGGCAAAAATCGGAACCAGCCATCCGGTATTGACGGTGGCGCCCCCTGTCAATGTCACAGATAGGACAGTTCAGTATTTTGGATCTACAGGGTGTTAGGTAAATGGGTATATGAGCCGACACTAGCCCATGTTAACATGGGCATATAAATGGTATGGTGAAGTCAGAAATTTGATATCATCATTAACTTTTTTTTAATTGTCATACAAAATAAATTTTATAAAATCCGATTTGTATGAAAATTTAAATAATTAAAATGTAGATATCAATTTTCTGACTTCNTGGTATGGTGAAGTCAGAAATTTGATATCATCATTAACTTTTTTTTAATTGTCATACAAAATAAATTTTATAAAATCCGATTTGTATGAAAATTTAAATAATTAAAATGTAGATATCAATTTTCTGACTTCACCATACCATTTATATGCCCATGTTAACATGGGCTAGTGTCGGCTCATATACCCATTTACCTAACACCCTGTATAGAAGTAACCAGCGCCTTCCTCCAAATGAGAATTCTGTGTTTTCCAACGCGGCAGAAATCGGAATCAGCGATCCGGTATTGCTAATAACTCAGCTTCATCAATTTAGTAATATAATCCCAAATCAATTCGCTGGCGAAAATATTTGTTACAAAATCAAACCGTAAAACTAAATTGTAAAACCCACCGACCATTGACATTTTAAGAGAAAGAAAAAAATATTGTTTTGTGATAATTATTGACTAGTCTGCTCCAATTCGACTAAAGGAATGTATATTTGTTAAACATATTTATTTAACGCGTCGTTGTGATTTGATAGATTTATAGTAGCAATTTAAAGTACAAGCTATTTAAAATTTTAAGGCAGTACTAACAAGGTCCGTTTTTGAACAAAGCTCAAAACAGTCATAGGACGTATGGCAGAAAAAAGCGCCTGCAAGCAAAATGGCTATCGCTACGACAGTTTTTGCTGAGGACACGTTTGCTAACTTCAATAGTGACGTGTTTTTACTACTTTTTTAGCAGGGACAGCGCTTTACGCTAACGTAAAGCGCTTTTTTCCGCCAAATGCCCTCATAGATTTTCTCCAGTGATTGTTTGTTGAAATCAATCATGCTTGAAAAGAAATTGAGCTTTGTTCTGTAGGCTGCTAAGTCGCAAATCGCGCAGCATGTCTGTATTTTGAGTACAATATTAATGTAATACGTCAAAAATATAATAGACAAAAATTCGCTTATTGTTTAAATGAGGCTCTGTATGTTTTGAACCGTATCTACTCTTATGGTCGAAAATTAGTAATTTTTCAAAATCTGCCTTGTATTTTGTTCAGACATGAAAATACATATTAGGTAACTATTATGTATGCTTACATAAAATGTATTTGTATGTGTATATCCGATGGCTGGCCCATAGTACAAGCTTTGCTTAGTTTGGGACTAGATGGTGCTGTTATTTTTTTTATGCAAGAATCTTCTTATTAAAAACATCAAAGTTATTTTGTCTCTGAAAACAATCATTTTAACAACGATTGTTATTTTTGGAAGTCCTGAAAAATCACGTAATGAGGGTTTTCGCGATTGAAAAATCCGCCAGATGGCAATACGTAGACGCGAGGTCCAAATTCTGCATGGTTGGTTTTTTTGATGTGATATTGACAGATATGTCAAAATCCACCAATCACGCAGCATTTGGACCTCGCGTCTACGTATTGCCATCTGGCGGATTTTTCAATCGCGAAAACCCTCATTACATGGTTCAGTCAGCGTCAAATAGGTACTTCGTGACACCCAAAGTAGCCAAAAAGTTCGCGACACAAAAAACAATGCCGGAAATTGGCGTCTTTTTTTTCGCGCGGCCATCGACCAAATCTTGTTTTTTGGTCACAAAATAGTGTAATAAACCAAACTTACTATGACATGTATACCTCTAAACTCAGTCTGAACTGAGTTACGAGCATTAGAAATTTGATGATTTTCATACTAGATTTGCTTTTTGCGCGCAAGTTTTGTAAGAAATTGCAACAAAATAGTGACATTGTGTGTGTAAACAAACAATACCATCCATTAAAGGCTCCAGACATCAGTATGCAGCAGAATCAGCGCAATAAAAAAATAGCGCAATAATTTGTTGCAATTTCTTANAGACATCAGTATGCAGCAGAATCAGCGCAATAAAAAAATAGCGCAATAATTTGTTGCAATTTCTTACAAAACTTGCGCGCAAAAAGCAAATCTAGTATGAAAATCATCAAACTTCTAATGCTCGTAACTCAGTTCAGACTGAGTTTAGAGGTATACATGCCATAATAAGTTTGGTTTATTACACTATTTTGTAATCAAAAAATAAAGTTTGGTCGATGGCCGCGCGGAAAAAAAAAGACGCCACCTTCCATACAAAATCTGGCATTGCCATTTGTTACATTGGAATAAGGTTGTGTTGTCCACACTTTTGGCCACTTTGGGTGTCACAAACTATTTGACGCTGACTGTACCTTGTCTATGGTATTAAAATATCTATCAATTCGACTAAAAAACTTCTCTATGGCTAGACTGAACTAACCAAAGCGAAATACTATTTTGTTTTGTATTCGAATTATAACTTGATTTTACATAAAGCAATAATTGGTAAATACACAAGACTCAAAGCAGTATTTTTAATACACAGCCACATCGATGTTGAATATAATATGTATAGTATAGTATTCTATTTTTTTATAATATGCCAATATAATATGCTTTTCCACAACAGTTATAATGTGAAGATTTTTATATTTATAACAAGTGTTATAATAGGTTTTCGGAACCTAATTACTATTCAGCCAGCACAGATCTTGAACGCTCTACCAAAAAGTTGGTATTACTTTGGGTATTATAAAATTGACACTTCTGTCAGCCGTCAAGTAGTTCGTGACACCCAAAGGCCCAGAACACACGGTGAAACGCAATTGCAACGAAACTGCAACTTCTAGTTACTTTTGAGTTGCATCTAAGTTTCTGCCATAGCGTCCGTTGAGAGACCACACATGACGCAACCAGTTTGAAACCGATTTGAACTGGTCAAACTGGTCGCGTCATGTGTGGTCTCTCAACGGAATCTATGGCAGAAACTTAGATGTAACTCAAAAGTAACTAGAAGTTGCAATTTCGTTGCAGTTGCGTTTCAACGTGTGGTCGGTGCCAAAGTGGCCAAAAAGTTCGCAACACGTCTTTGTTACAATTGGAATAAGATGTGTCAGAATTTTGGCCACTTTGGGTGTCACGAACGCTGACTGTATTGGTGTATTTTTTAGATCCAAATATTTCTATCCAGCTATATTTTATGGTATGAATACCTACTGCCTTTATAATAGTATAGTATTTCTATGCATTTCTTTTTTCGTTTAAATTTTTAACTTTACGCCGAAAAAAGTACACCTGTCACCTGATAAAAAAAATTGTGTCAAAGATGATTAATAATAAAATTATGAATAAATTTAAAATAATAATGCATTTGCACATTACGCATCTATTTTGTGTAATAAAACTAGTCGTTGATAACAGTTAAATTAATTTTTAAGTAATTGGCTTTAAAACAGACGAATATAACTATTTTGTCTTTAAAATTATTATTAATAATGTTTAAGTGTCGTGCAATATGATTTGATTTGATTAAATTAAAAAAATCTTTCTATTTTTACATTGTGTGTGTGTATAGAATATTTTGAATAAATTTTTCACGAAAACTAAGAAAAAACACAAGTTTTGTTTTACAAAATGTGATGCGTAGTGCTTCTGAATTTAAAAATCGTGTCGGTTCACGTAATATCTTGTGCGGTTGTCGCGGCCATCTTTAAATTCTCTCCATTTTTTAATGTAAAAAAACTTTTTGATTTTTTGAACCAAAAATAAAAAATTTTTGGTTCAAAAAACAAAAAAAAACTTTCAAAATATATTAAAAAAGTATATGGATTTAAGTTATGTAACTAATCAACTCTATTACACTACTGGCGTTGATATTTTTTTTAATTGGCGTCTAGAGACGCCTTAGTGTAGGTATTTTTTTGAATTATTTTCTAATTTGTCGGAGTGGAGTGTTAGAGGGATTTCAATATGTATTGATTGTTCATACATTGACATTTACTAAGTGTTTTATCATAGGTTATTAAACTTCTATGAGATATAATTCTGACGAAGTAATTCTTTCATCACGGTTACTATTATTGAGAAATCATCTATAAGTCACATTTAGCGTTGTCAAAATTTTATTTCTTGGGTTTTGGCAATCAAACATCAACTAAAGTTAAGTGGAAATTGCTAGAACAGTGGACGGACTACCTCTTAAAAAGATAACAGAATAACTAGTGAATGCATATCAAAATAATAGAAATAAAACACCCATGTTTTTTAAATCCGTTGCAAATGCTGTAACAATAATCACTCGACATTGGTATTAACTAGAAATAAGTACACTAGAAACAACTACAAAGAGGTTTGGTTCCCACTTCAAATCATTTTTTACATTTCTTTAAAAAATCTAGGATGGTTTTGCTATAGGACCGGTCTTAGTGGAAATCCTTGGTGGAGACTTGTCTATCGGGGGGCATCTTGAAAAGAGGAAAGCTTTGGTAAATGTCAGTGTTGAGTAAAGCCCGGTCTGTGAGCACGTAGAATTTTGTCCAATGACCCCACGCTACCCATCCTTATCGCTCGCGCGTAATTATATTGCTGTCGCGACTGTGCGACGGGCGCCCGCAGTGAGTGTGCGAGCGCGACAACAACATAATTACGCGCGAGCGATAAGTATGGGTAGCTTGGGGTCATTGGACAAAATTCTACGTGCTCACGGACCAGGCTTTAGATCATTTGCTAATGAATAAGACTGACGAGACATTCATTATAAACACTTCCAACACTGCACGCCGACGGGAGTGCAAGCGAGACGGCGATATGTTGCGTTTCGGTCACACGCGCCTGGTATAACTGTAAAAAAGACTTTGTTTTTTGTAATTCCCTAATTTTAGCATTTAATTTTGTATTTCTTTTTCGCTTCGGATTGTAGTGAAAACTAGTTACTACTTAAAAAGAGAGGTAATTAAGGTACATAATAGCTTGTATCAAATTATTGGGTTATTCCCAGTTGCCACCCTAACTGGGGGCATCTGGGAAATTTACAAAAATGACCCAGTCTCTCTTGCTTGTGAAATCTGGTATTTCATAGTTTGATCGTCTATATCGCTGAGACACTGAGACATATTTATAATTAAATTCCCATTAGTCCCTATTAGGGGCAATTGAGAATAACCCATATCATGGGTTATCAGTTTTCACTGTTGTCCGAAAGATTCTCTTGCGTGTGGTCACACAACTTGGTGCCTAAAATGACCCTAAGAGCAATGGGTTGCGTTGTTTTTTGGATTAGTTGTTTTGAATCAATGTGAGATTGGAATTTGCGTTTTTAATTTTAAAATTGGCGGCTATCTTCCTTGGTAAATGTTGTGCCATTGAACAAATTTAGCAGTGTTACCAGCTATAAAAATGGTTTAAAATATGACAAATTTAATTATGTATAGAAAATACAATACCTACTTGATATTTCTTGAATATACACCTAGTATTCTCTCATACTGTCTCTCTTGACTCGCACAGGAATGTTAGTGTGTGTGAGAGAGATGGCTATATTAATGTTAGGTAATTGTTCTATGTGAAAATCAAGTTATAAAGCCGAACAATTATACATCCGAAATAGGAAGATGGTCGCGTAATTAACTGGCGAAAGAATCATAAATGTACACCGGACTATATTCCATAGACCCTATAGTCTAAAACTGTAAAGTATTTCAACTATAATCGTCTCTTTCATTCACGCTAGCATTTCATAGTGGGCGAGAGAGACGGATAGTTAAGTTGCATTTTTTTTTTGTCATTTAATTGGTCAGGTATGGTACCATAAACTGCTGTCTTCAAATTCAGCTATGGTTTTTCCCTGCAGCCCCCACTAGTGACAAATGACACTTATACCCCATTTACCCCCGCGCTTTAAAATGTACCTCCGGTGAGGGATTCTGGGACTGACAAATCAATTACCCAAAGACAGTTCATTCATGTTAAGTATTTTATTTTATTAATTGAATTCGATGTACATTTATGCTCCTTATCGCAGTGTGATAAAGTCCATATTGCCATGAGAAATTCAAAGTGCATTTTAATATAAGTTTTTTTTAACATGTCATAGCTTTTAAGATATTGTATTTTTATTCGCTTAGGATAGACGCGGGGAGTGAACCCAGTGTAAATATATTCTGAGGCAAAAATATAATAGAATGTTCACATTATACCGAGTTTTCTTTTAAAATGTACCCTCTACCTCTTAGGCTGAGTTGCACCACCTAACTTTGACCATAAATATAACGATAACCGGTGTTTTTTGTATGGAGTTTGACAGATTTTTGGTTAAAATTAAATGGTGCAACCTAAGAAGACTAATTGTTGTAAAAAAAGAATTTTTAATATTGTATTATTTTAATGAATACGTAAATAATTAAAGATTACAAAATTATAACAATAAATTCATTGCAATATTTAAAATAATAATTTATCATAATTTTTCCCATCATCACAATAATAATAATACTATTCTAAAATTTTTGGTGAAACTTATGAGCATATTTTCTAATTAATTTATCTAATAGTAATACGGAACTTATTTCTAGTATGCTCCATAAATAATGTCAAGTTTTATACATCTTAATAAATATTAAATTATGGAAAATGTACAACAGTAACTTGAGAACAATTTCTAAGCTCTACTCAGCCTGCCTGTAAGTATACATAAAAATCTAATGCAGGTCACAGGCACGTGGCAAGATGTTTCATGGTGTTGCTATAAATGTCTTGAAAAGTTTTACTCTGCAATTAAGACTTCCCATTTGCGTTTTGCAAATATTTTTGGAATATTTTTTGCAAAGATAGCGACATAATGGACGAAAGTTTCGTTTAGTACCATGTATAATACCATATAACATAACGCTCAAACAACTTACCAATGAGGGTTTTCGCAAATGAAAAATCCGCCAGATGGCAATACGTAGACGCGAGGTCCAAATGCTGCATGATTGGTTATTTTAGACATGACATTGACAGATATGTCAAAATCCACCAATCACGCAGCAGTCAGACCCCACATCCACGTCCCGCCATCTAGCGGATCTTTCATTCGCGAAAACCCTCATTATACAACATCAATGTTTTTGTGAAGAACTCTTCTTGACACATGTCTGTAACCAGTATTATGAGAAATAAACACATTGAATATAAAGTGCAATAATATCTAAGACTTAAAATAATAATCAAAACATTTTGCTTGCTTGAGGTGCGAGAGAGAAGACATCGTGATCCAACCAGTGGATTCTGAAAGGTAAAAAAAAATCACTTATTCTTATATCAGTTGATTTTTTTATTTAACGGGCCCGGTTATTCCCCAGCTCTCAGCCACTGGAAATGAGGGTTTTCGCGAATGAAAGATCCGCTAGATGTCGGGACGTGGATGTGGGGTCTGACTGCTGCGTGATTGGTGGATTTTGACATATCTGTCAATGTCATGTCAAAAATAACCAATCATGCAGCATTTGGACCTCGCGTCTGCGTATTGCCATCTGGCGGATTTTTCATACGCGAAAACCCTCATTGAAAAAATACAACGACTCACATGTCCCCACTTCTAGTGGCAAATGAGATATCATTTTAGGGTTAAATGTCTCACTTTGCCCCCACTTGTGACGATAGTTAAGTTAATATCCATGATTTTCAGTGTCAATAAGCAATAGCATATTTATTGCAATCCCGCTGTCTGCAACTAAGGCCCAGAACAGACGGTGAAACGAAACTGCAACTGCTAGTTACTTTTGAGTTGCATCTAAGTTTCTGCCATAGCGTCCGTTGAGAGACCACACATGACGCGACCTGTTTGAAACTTTCAGTTTCATTCATCAGAATCATCACAAAGTTGCAGTTTCGTTGCAGTTGCGTTTCACCGTCTGGTCTGGGCCTAAGGCACAGCGCACACCTACTTGTTAGTCGTCTCTACGCCTCCGCTCGCCGTGTGCTTGATACTGCCTGGGCACGTTCCGATACTGCCACAACTCGTAGGCGACCGTCACAGCCGCCACCACCACTGCAGTCCCCAGCAGAAGCCCTTTGAAAAGGAAATCCATCTGTGGGTCTAGACAAAGTGCAAATGATAATCGCAAAGCAGTCAAAAAAATGCCTTTTTTTGTGTGGAGCTTTGACGAATTCAATTTTCGATTCGATCAAAAAGTGCAACTTGTCTAGGGGGCTGAAAGCATTGGCGAGCTATTTTTCAGGTCCGAACCCTCATACCAAGGTGTGATTAGTGTCATAAATTAAGTAGATTTACTATTTTTTTCTTATTTATTGGGGCAGAAAAGTTCTCGAGTGTAGACCACGGGCTGGAAGACGTAGCGTGGGCAGGCCTCCTACTAGGTGGACCGACGATCTGGTGAAGGTCGCGGGAAGAGCCTATATGCGGGCAGCACAGGACCGTTCAATGAAAAACTTTAGGCCTTTGTCCAGCAGTGGACGTCATTTGACTAAAACGACGACGACTATTTTTTTGGGATAGGCACGGCTGAATATCTGAAAATATTAAAGCGGTTATTTTTCCCGTTGGCCCCACTAGTTGTCGTTATTTTCCCGTTATCCCCACTATTTGTAACGATTCACGTTATTTTCTTGATGTCCCCCACTTTACCATGCAAAACCATGAGTACTGTAGGTACACATTAATCAGAGTAATAAATTAACTCCACGAATGAACAGTAGCGTCCTGCGTTCCCACATCATTGCCCAATACAATCAACAATAGAAAACAATAGTTATACTGTTCCTTGTATGTGTCGGCGGCTGAGCCCGCCAGTTTTATTTTAGTCGCAATTACACCTTTAAAGAAATCACATGTTCCAACAAGTACCATAAGTACCCTACCTTGATGGCTGGCACGGGGCACCATTAACTTAACATTGGTTGTTATTTGTCAATAAGAGATGTCGCTGTTAAAACATTACATGGCGGTATATTCAATGTATTTTCTGGAACATACTTTTGCGGGAATAAAAAAACATATATCTGAGGCAGTAAGTATTATTTACATAATGTACGTAAGTACTTACACAGGCGCGACAAATCGATAAGTTATCAAATAAGGACATTTGATACGAGTAAGATAATACAAAATAACTTTTGCTTGAAAGGTCACAATAAATTAAGACGACTGAGTACTAAATTGGGTTGGTAGCTATATTGGTAGTTGACACTTAAGTAATAATTCCAAAACCCAACTTATAAACAATTTTTTTTAGCTCTGAACATGCTTTCAAATTCAAAGCAGCCGAAGCTTTCTTTTTAATCACAATTTACTTATGTAATCCACCTAGGAATCGAACCAATTACTTCAGATTTGAGAGCCTCACTCTTACCACTTGACCATCGGACTATAACTCCAATGTTAAAGATTTTTATATGAACTAAAAGATTTTTGCAAGTAGGTATTTCGCGCGCATTCAGAATCGCAGTGCAGAAGATTGGAAATTGATACATATCAAAGTTAGGTATTCTGTGATGTTAAGCAAACAAAACAATGTCCTTGAACACTGTGTTTTGAAACGTCTTTGCAATCAATGTTATGTTAATGTACCTATCAAACATTACTTCATGCCAATTTGAACTTTATGGTTATAGACATACGGATACTGCGTATTAACGTCAGAAAAAGTACACACACTTGGCAGGCAGTGCCACATTAAGTACTCTAAAACATTAATCTACAGTCTATTTTCGTTTAATGGAAGTATTAAAACATATCTACATACCTTAACAGTTAATTAACTTTAGAGAAATGTAGTCCAACACAAGTGTACGGTACACTGCGTAACCAGTAACCAAGGCAACTCAATAAATGCAGAGCACGTAAATAAACTGGCTGTGGTTGTGTTGTGACAGATGCGACTCTAGAAAGAAAAGGTTCGTCACATCTGCGCTTGCGCACGGCGCAATTTCACGACATCAAAGGGTGGGAGATTTTTATTTTCAAAAAAAATCCCCGCTATTACGGAACGGAACGTTTGATACGTTCCGTTCTACGTTCGATTACATAAACTTGTGCATTATTTTCAAAGATTATTTATACAATATTATGACATATAAAATATTTTAAAATGATGTTTAAAGAATTGTGTTCTTTTTTTTTTTTTTTTTTTCCCGTTGTTGGCTTTACACGGCTTGTGTGTTGCCATTTGTCGAGTAAAAACGGGGAAACGGTTAAGGAAAGAAAAAATACGGACGGAGAGAAGAAAGTGATCAGGAGAGTGGAATGTAGTAGGATAACATTAGATTAATATACATTAATTTACAATATATTACACTTTTTTTTTTTTTTTTTTTTTAATTTATATAATATATACATACAAAATTAAAGTTTGATATTGTTTAAAATAATAAATGAAGCTAATGTTTTGTATACTGTAAAATCGGAAGAAAGGAGAAGTTGGGTAATGCTGGTCGGGAAGGGAACATGGGAAGAAATTAAACCATCCAGAAAGAAAGATCTGTCGTACAAAGTGCAAGAGAAAAATATATGATTTACGTCAGCAATATCAACCCCACATTCACACATAGGGTCTCTCACAATACGAAGTCTAGCAAGGTGAGCAGGAGTGCATGTGTGACCTAGCCTTAATCGTATTAAAATAGATGTTATTGTCTTGCTAAACTTCGCATTATGATACCACGGTTTCACAGGTATATTGGGTTGTATCTTTACATAAAATCTACCTTTGGTTTGGCATGATAACTCCCAATTAGTAATCCACTTTTTCATTAGATATATATTAGGCAAAGACTGAAGATCATGAGGATAGTTTTTATAGGGAAAAACATCACCGCACTGCACCGCATCATTCGCTAAACGGTCTGATATTTCATTTCCTGTTATTCCCTTGTGGCCAGGGATCCAAGCAAAGTTAATGACAAGTCCATTATTAAAGCAGTCATATACCATACGTCTTATTTCAAAAATTACTGGGTATTGATATTTTAGATGAAACGGAAATTTATTTAGAGCTTGCAAAGCACTCATGGAGTCCGTAAAAATAACAGTTTTCTTTAATTTCATTAGTTTCACATATTCAACAGCTTTTAAAAGTCCAAGACACTCTCCAGTAAAAACAGAAGTTTCTGGTGGCATTTTTACTTTTTGTACAATTTTATACTGTGAATGATAAATTCCTATACCAACACAGTCTGCAGCAGTATGTTTTGATGCATCAGAAAAAATTAAATGGAAATCATTAAATGTTGTGTCAATAACATAATTAAAGTGAATTCTAATGTTGGGATCATTTTTATCAAATAGATCATAAAAAACATTAAGTGCAAAGGAAAGTGATTCATAACTGGAACTAAAAAGAGGGAGATTGTCAGATCTGTGGGTTGGGGACGATAGAGACTGAAACTTTAGGTAACTAGTAACCAAGCAGGGAATAGATTTGTGGCTCCAATAACTAGATGTATTTATTATTTCAGAGAGGGATTGAAGTTTGGCCATAAGGGGGTGGTTAGAAAACTGAATAATTCTGAACAAAAACTTGTCAGACAAAAACTGTCGTCTTAAGCTTAATGGAGGTTCACATGTTTCAACTTGGAGGGCGTTAATCGGACTAGACCGCATAGCTCCAGTTATCAATCTCAAAGCTTTATATTGAATTTTATCCAGTTTTTTAAAAGATGTAACACTGCCAGGTTCTAAAACGAAGGTCCCATAGTCTAATATACTCCTAATAAGCGCATTGTAGAGTAATTTCATGGAAAAAGGGTGGGCTCCCCACCACACGCCAGAAAGACATCTAAGCATATTTAAGAGTTTCTCACATTTAGTGATAACATAATTACAATGTGGAGTACCAGTGAGCTTCGAATCTAATATAACACCTAGATATTTAAAATGATCTACTAAAGGAATAATTTGATTATTATAAAGTACTTCTATAAGTGGGGGTGAGCGCATACGAGAGAATAACATGACTGCACTTTTGTAAGTTGAGATTTGTAAGCCGTTGTCATCCATCCATTTGCTTAATAAGACTAGTGAGGAACTTAATACAGATTTAGCAACTGTAGGTGATTTATCAGCACAATACAGTAACAGATCGTCGGCATATTGAAGAATTTTGATAGTATTACCTAGCGCTGGTTCTAGGTCGTAAGTGTAGATATTGTATAGAAGAGGGCTGAGAACCGAGCCCTGTGGTAATCCTCTCCATACAGAGCGATCAGTATCTACAAATGGTAAACTAATACGACGATCCGATAAAATGTTAATAATAAAATTAGAAAAAATTTGCGGTACATTCAATTTCTCAAGTTTTGTTTTTAGAATCTGTAAAATAACGTTATCGTATGCAGAATGGATGTCAAGAAAAGCAGCTAACAATGACTCATTCTCGGACAAGGATAATCTAATATCTGAAATAAGTAAGCTTAAACTATCAACAGTACTCCTGGCCTTCCTGAATCCATATTGACTGCTAGCCAAGTATTTATTACTTTCAATATACCACTCCAATCTATTTTTAACCAGATGTTCCGCAAGTTTGATTAAAACAGATGACAACGCTATAGGCCGGTAAGAGGATGCATCGGAACGATTTTTACCCGGTTTTAAAAATGGCAACACTAGTTGACATTTCCAAGATGGGGGAATATTACCTGTCATCATACTGGAATTGATTATTTGTAAATAATACTCAAGAACATTGTCATTGACATTGGAGAAAAATGAATATGGTATGTTATCTAGTCCAGGAGCGGAGTCATGTGTGTTATTGACAATGGCTTTAAGCTCATGTAGAGTGAAAGGTGAGGTTAGGCCAGTAGATTCTGGGGAGACAGGCAAGTAGGTAGGACACTGAATCAACTCCTGAGCTACCCAAGGAGGTGCCAATTTGTCTAAAAAATCATTTACTAAGGTTTCAGGAATACTACTATTACTATTTTCTGAAAAGGCGGATCTAAATCTCCGGATGGAACTCCACACAACAGTGGACGGAGTATTTGGAGAGACAGAAGAACAAAATTTTCTCCAACTCTCAAACTTTTTGTTCTTGAACAGTTTACGGGTATCTGCAATAGCTTTGGACAATAATTGGAAATTTGAATCTGACATATCATTACTATAATTTTTCTCTGCTATTTTCCTTTGCCTAACAGCCTCTGTACATGCACTGTCCCACCACGGAGGAGAAGGTATTTTACGTGGTGAATTATTTTTTACGGGGAAGACTTCTTTAGCAGCCTCTATTAAAACATGCGCTAGACCTTCAGCACAAGCCGTTTCGTTACCAGGGTCGATGCTTGGGAGAGAAGAAAACCTATTTACTACACTACTTCTATATTTCGTCCAAAGATCACTATCATGGCTATTGGGTAGGTTAAAGGGAGATCTAGATATCTGTTTGGAGACGGAAACTTTAAAATTAGGGAAATGAATAGCTATGGGGTAATGATCGCTACCAAAGGATGACATTAAAACCTCCCAGGTCAATAAAGGAGCAAGATTTGGAGTACAAATAGATAGATCTACTGCACTGCTACTTTGGTTAGGCTGTGAACGACGTGTTGGAGCACCAGAATTTAAGACAAATAGGTTGTGTGAATCCAATAAATCTGTTAGTTCCTCTCCATGACTATTAGTATATGTACAACCCCAGGACTGATGGTGTGAGTTAAAGTCACCTAAAACTATATAAGGTCTAGGTAACATGGAAAAAATATCATTTAACACACTGAAAATATCAGATGAAGGATAGGGAATATATACAGACACAAAACATACATTATTTACATTTACAGCTACTATAGACATATTTACATTGTGAGCAGGAAGAGAGATTGAGGTGAATGGTAGGCTATTTTTTATTAGTAATGCAGCACCACCATAGCCATCAGGTCGATCATCTCTTACTACTGAATAACCTTTTATTTTAAAACTGTACATTGGTTTGAGCCATGTCTCTGCCAAGGCAAAGACAGAGGGCTCGAACTTGTTCAATAAATAAATTAAATCTGACTTTTTGTTAATAATGCTGCGGCTATTCCACTGCAGCACTGTTGCCAGCGAATCCATTTTTAACTACTTCTAAACATTTATCAATTATATTAGCAGCGTGGGACGGTGATGGGTTGGATTGAGTTATTTTAATTAATGAAATAATTAAATTAATTAGAGTAAATTGTTGATTGTTATGTAAATCTTGTTCTTTTTCTGAGGTTAGAGCACAGCCATTTGAAGGAGTAGGTATAGCAAAATCTCTGATAAGGGCATTATGAGCCTCTTGATCATAACCCTTGGTTAATTGTGGAGCTGACCTTGGTTTCATAAAGACTGTTTTTTTATATGATACATTATTATTTACATTACTATTTACATTCTTATCCACATGCCTAATAAATGATGTTGAAGGGCTAGCTTTAGATGTTAAAACATCAGCATATGATTTTGAGACAGGTGGGTGTATTTTGGAAGCCTCTGCATAAGATATACTATTGTTAGCCATAGAGGTCTTGATGTTCTTTTGCCTTAAGAATTCTGGACAAGATTNTTTAAGCCGGCTCTCCAGTCCATGTTTAGCCTTACACAATCAACAAAAATATGTCAATATTCAACATTTTTTCTAGAAAATTTTGTTGAATGTTGATATGTTATGTCGTGTAGGACAAAATACGCGCTGGAGTGGCTTTAACTTGCAATCTAGTTTTTTTATTTCTTATCATTTAACTTAAATTCTAGCCAAATATCCATTAAAACCGCTTTATCAACAAAAATAATCTTAAAAAAGTCATATGAAGATACATTAAACGTAAATTTAAAAAACAATAGAAATTTAAAAAAAATATATATCAAAAACTGACTTTAAATTGCTGTTTTGAGGTCTTCGGGGCATTGTTTCTTTAACAGTATAATATG